TAAATATATAAAACACATATAGATAATATAATATAATGTAATATAATACATATATCATTAAATTGTATATCTTATCAATGTTAATTAAAAAATAAATTTAAAAAATATTTATAAAAAAATTATTTATGATTTAAAATTCAAGATTAGTGTGGTTAGAAATTAAAATTATATTAAAAATATTTTTTAAGAATAAAAAATTATTTAAAAAATATTAAAAAATTATTTTTTCATTAAAATAGTTATGATTAAAATTATCATATAGTATATTTTTAGTTTTTAATAATATATATAATTGTTTGTGTAAAATAATATTATATATATATTTAATTTTACATAATAAGTCAACAGGTTCATTGCAGCTCAACTGGTAAAACCGCACGCGTGCATAGAGGAGGTCCTGGGTTCTAGCTATGGAGAAGTCACTTTGAAGAGAAAATTATGTGGTGGCGACACGTGGCAGGCAGAGGTGAGGTGGCAGAGACACGTGGAGGTGGTCCCCAGTGATGATGTGGCAATTGGTAGAGGTGCCACATGGCATTTTATTTTATTTTTAAAAAAATCGGATTAACGACGGATTAGCGACGGGAAATTTCCGTCGGTAATTAACGACGAAGGAATTAGCGACGGAACAAATTCCGTCGCTAATCCGTTTCTGTCGCTAATCCGTTGCTAAATTCCGTCGCTAAAAGCATGTTTTTTTGTAGTGTAGTCGTATATTTTTAATAAATTTGGTTTTGGTCTCCATATATAAATTTGGACCAAGTCCTTATAAATTTATAGGGATCAAAACTAATTTTTTTTGAAACTACAAAGACCAACACTAAAATCAATAATGATATTATTCTTTAAATAATCTTTATTTTTAACCTACATATACCCTTGCGTGATTAGCCTGAAAGAAAACTACTCTTGTGAGTTGTGGGATTCCATAAAAGAATTATATAAATGAGCTTGATATCATACTTAAATCAAAATTTTAGTACAAGAGTTGTGCATTTATATAGAGCTCAAAATGAATCGCATTGCTCATGGTTTCTGAACGATAAAATTCTATACACTTTCTTTATTTTATATTGAACGATGATTCTCTTTAAATATAATTTTATTGAATATATTCTTTTTATCTTAGATATAGAAGCCGACTAGAAAATTGGTTTTGATTCTAAATATAAATTCTTAATTTATTTTATTATTTATCATTTATCATTTTTTTCCCAACCTAATGTATCAAACATATAAAATGATATATTACTATATTATAATGTTACGTAGAGATACTTTAAGGAGATTTATTTAAATTTTTTTAATTCACCCGAATTTATTAAATAGCTGTTATAATTTAAACTAGATGAATAATTTTTATTTTGAAAACTTTTGATTAGTTAGATTGTGACTTATGAGAGAGTACAAAATACGGGAACTAGATAGGACGGTGACTAATTGCATATATATATATATATATATATAAGTTAAATTAGTTATTTGTTTCAGGTAAAAAAAAAAAAGTTAACTATGTATTAAAAAATATGTTAGTTTTTCTAAAATATTATTTTTTTAACAATTTATATTGGAACTACTTATAGTTATTTTCATAATACATGAAATCAATTGAAATATAGTTTGAACAAAATATTATAAATTTGGAAAACAAAACAAAATGAGTTCTTTAAAACAAACTTCCAACCAATTCTTATATTCAGATCAGAAGAAATATATTATAACGAGGGGAGGACATGAAGATATTTGGAAACATTGTCAATTTTATCATCTTAGGCTCACATAATGTCAAATTATTTTGGCTTATTTTAGCTTTAAATATTTCAGCTCAGAATGTACAACTTACTTTAATTAATGATCTCTTTACATATATTATTAGTAACATTATCTCGAATCCTCATAGTGTTTTGAGCTAAGATGCCGATTCTCTCTCTCCCCTTTTAAAATTACTTGCTTGGTTGTATTAGTCCTTTGCAATATTCCTATGTACATACTCGGATTATACTTTTTGGTTCTTAATATAAGATCTTATTTAATTTTTTTGTCCTAAATATAAAATCCCAATCCACTTTGTCTTTCATATTTATACTTTTTTTTCCATAGTAGCCTTTCTAATAATGATAATTCTAGTCAATATACTTGATTAGCAAGGATATTTCAGAAAAAACAACACCTATTTAGGACAAATAACTAACTCAACTTACTTTTTTAATCTTCTCAAATTAGTCAACTGGTTTTTATAATTAAGACCGGGAGTAGTATTTAAGTGGGTTTACTCCAAAAGTAAGACGATGTTAGGTAAATCTTTCAATTCATTGGACACCAAATAGTTAAAGCATCAATCAAAAAGGCAGTCTAAGCCAAAAGCCATCACTTCCACACTTCAGCCCCACCTTTCTTTATCCTTTCCATCTAATCCTTTCTTATGCTCACCTCTACTATACACACACACACATATAAAATAAAATAGTCAATTAGATATAAAACAAGGAAAGTTATACAGCTAAAATCAGCAAAATAGTATTGAGAGAATGGGATATTAATAGCTCATCAGTTACTGTTATTACTTTTAGGAGTTTTCTCTCTTAGCATTTTTTAATGCTACTTAACAGTTAGGGACTTAGGATCTCTGGTTTTAAATAAATAAAAAAAAAAAAAAACAGTTAGGGTCGGCAGAATATGTATGAAGATTACTGAAATTATATTTAACTCCTTTAGCCAAGAGGAATTTGTCTGTCACATCATCTAATGTACTATGCTAAACAATGCTGACGTGAAGCAGAGGCTGATGGCTGATATGACAATTTGTTCAAAAGAATACGGGTAAAGGTACAGCAGAGCATAACTTTATTTTCCAAGTAAATTTAGGGTGTGTTTGGATGAAACCAAACCGTGGTTTGGAAAAGTGATTCTGGAGAATAGATTCTGAAAAAAATAGATTCTGTGAAGAATAGATTTTGTAAAAAAGTGATTCTGAGAAGTGAGAGTGTTTGGATAGTTGTTATCAGAAGCACTTTTTATATATACAAATTACTAAAAAAAAAGACATAAGTTAATATGATAATTATAGAAAAAATAGATTTTATGATATATTTTAATTTGAAGAAATAAAATTATTAATAATATGTTTTTTACCAACATAATTAATAATACATAAGATAATATAATTAATAAATAATTAATGTCTATATATATTTATAAAATATAAGATTAAATATATTTATAAAAAAATATGTTTATAAAAAAAATAATAAGATACATATCATATAGGCCCTCACACTCTCCTTTTTTTCTCCAAAAGCAAAAAAATTTTGCTTTTTCCAAAACCATGGTTTTGGTTTTTGGAGAGGCTGTTTGGGTAGCATTTTCCCCAAACCATGGTTTGGGTCCCCAAATCATGGTTTGGGGTGCTATCCAAACAGAGCCTCAGCACTTCATTTTTTCGGACTTGTCCGCTAATATTATGATATTATTATTTTTAGTTATATTTAACATTCTAATTTTTCAATTGCTAGATACATAAAAAAAAAAAAGTTTACAGTGCTTCATACACTTAAAAGATAAGATTACTGTGATGGACGTACCATAATAAAGATCGGATACACCCAAAAAATAAGATCAAGATGCTGAATGTATTTTTATCCAATGTTGTAATGTAATTGAGGCGTAAATTTATTCTGAAAGTTTTCATTTAAAAACACTGGATACCCAAAAGTTTTTGTGGGTACAAATTTGTTCAAATAATTTAAAATCACAACAATACTGTCTTATATCGTAAAAGAAAACTGAGTTGATTATCATAATAATGACATTAACTGTTAATATTTTTAGCAATAGGAATAGTATTTTTGCAATTTTAAATTTTTAACCAAAATTTGAGTGCCTAATACTCTTGGGTGTAGAACAAATTTACACATTAAGCTGTTATATTACATGTTGTGTGTATTACTCAAATTTAATTCTATCAACACTGTAAGAGAAAAACATAATAATTGAATATAATCAAATCTTTCCAAAGTATGATATTGCGTCAAAAGGAACAATGATGATAATTCTTCCCACAAGATTGTACTACACACCATTGAGTCCAGGTCCTTGTGTAGCCCTCTTATCCTACTTCCACTTACATTTCCATGTAAATATATATATGGAAATAGGTTACATTTAGCTTCTTAAAATATTTTTTTGACAGAACTTATTAACCTAAAATAATTTTTTATTCATTTAGTATTTTAAAATTTTTAGTGTAATGCCAATATCTTGAGTTTTGGAATCTCAATACTACTCAAAGGAATGGTTAAACGCAAAGTTACATAAAAAAATACTTTAAGATACCAAGTGGAACGGAGGAAATAATTTAGGATATAGGTATATATGTATATTTCCATTCAATTATAATTCAATACAGATGATATTACAAAGGGTTAAGATATAATTTTAACTTCAATCTTATTTTTTAGGTGTAATTTTGTCCCTGATTTTTACAATGATGCAATTTTGACCCTTGTCTTTTTTTGGGTGCAATTTTGTCCCTCAGGGTTAAAATTGCACCGAGAGATTAGACACAAAATTATACCAAAAAAAATCAGAGATAAAATTGTATCTAAAAAATAAGATTAGTGGCAAAATTGTTCAACTAAAATATTAGAGACAAAATTATACTTGAGAAATGAGAAATAAGATTATGATGAAAATTGTACTTTTGCCCTATTACACTAGCATAGAAAGATTTCCAGCGCTTGGTACCAGATCTTTGTGGAGTGGGGCTCGATGCTTTTACGAGAAAGCAACAAAAGAAATTTTCTCACAAATGAACCGTTTTAGCGCGTGAGCCTCACGCTTCCTGAGGGCAATCAGCTCAGCTCAGGGAGTGGGACCCGCCGAAATGGGCTCCACTGTTCACACCAAAGATGTCTGCGTTCCTATGTGCGTTTTGCATGGAAGTGGCCATGGACCGAAAGAGAGATTCGTCTCCCTCTTTCTTTATCAGTCTAGTCTCTCTCTCTCTCGCGCCCCCCTGTAAATACTCTCTCTCTTTCTCTCTCTAAAATCTATTTCTGTCAATGATTCTCTTACATGCGTCTTCGCTGAAATCCAGGTTGTTGGCGTGCTACTCTGATTCACTGCTGCCTCGGTACGCTGAAATTTCCCCTACTTTATTGAATTCCTTTCTCTAATTCTTTTTCTGTTAACCTTTGGGTTCACTCTAATTCTTGCTTTTGGGGGAATTCGGCCTGTTCTTGCTATCCGAACTGTATCTGAATTTTATTCAACGGGTTGGAATTTCTCGAGGTTTTCGCCAGCTTTCGGCTACCGATTTGTGATTGAGTTTTCTGTCCCTTACTCAAAATTGTTCTAATTCTTCTTCAATGCGTGTTTCTGCTTTATTTCATTGCTTACTGCGTCTGCAAGTATTGTGACTCCCATTGGGACTTTACTGTACTCCCTTTTTTCGCCCCCTCTGTGTGATCTCTCCGGACCAAAAACGTGGAGCGCTTGGTTTAATAGGGAGAAGATCCGGTTTTGTCGGTGTGCAGTGATGATCAATCTGATACCTTTTGTAGGTTCGATTCTTGTTCCATGCTTAAGGGAAAAGGAAAAGGAGTGGGTGAAAGTTCGTTTTTTAAATTTTGTAGCTTTCCTTTGCCTTTTCACTCGGCAGTTTGGATCTTTTTTTTTTTTTTTTTTTGGGGGGGGGTTGATTTTGATTTTAAGTACTAAATTTTCACCCACCCATGTCCAACTAGTTTCTGTATTCTGGTAGTATGAAATACTGGATAATTGGAGCATGCTATCGGATTTCATGCATTGGTCCTTATGTTTCTTATTTAGGGCTTTTCCAACTATTCTTTTTCCCCTTTTCCTACTCCTTTCTACTCCTTTCTATTCCCCCTTAACCCTCCTCTTTTCCAGATGGTATAGGGTCCACAAAATTGTTTGGAAATTGGTCAGATTCCCCTTTTCTAATGTGATATCTTGAAGATTGGATGGTTTTACTTCAGCGATTTGTGGTGTGATGTTTTCAGTAACTAGGGTTTTCTTCAATGCTATCAGTCTGACACGTTTGGATTGCATGTATCCTGATTAAGATTGATGAAGACATTTCTTGGGTTTGACCATAACATGTCCATTTACCCTTTAATTGTGATGCAGCTGCTTGTTTGTTATCTTTTAGAACCCTTTATGTGGTTATAAGGGCATTTTTTAATTCTTTTTTCTTTTGGCAATTCTTGACAGGTTAGTTCTCTTGTCTGCTATCATATGGTTGATGCCTCATTGCTTCTCTAATATGTTTGATATTGAATTTCTTTTCAGATAGAGGCTTATCTCCCTGCAATTCTATGCAAAGAAAAAGCTGAAGCCACGTCTGTACTCTGTAGTAATGGGAACCTCAAGCTCTAAAATGGAGGATGATAAGGCACTGCAGCTCTGCCGTGAAAGGAAGAAGTTTGTTAGGCAAGCACTTGATGGCCGATGCTCATTAGCAGCTGCTCATGTTTCGTATGTCCAGTCACTGAAAAATACTGGAACGGCTTTGAGAAAATTCACTGAACCTGAAGCACCAATTGAGTCTTCATTATACACTTCCACTAATGCAACACCAGAGCCACTTGCATTAACTGAGAAGACCTTGTCCCACCTCTCATTCTCTTCACCATCTGCGTCACAGCGAATAGATGCAGCTGAAACCTTCTCTCCAGTGCCCTCTCCTCCTATCTCTAGTAAATTCCAGGCAAATCATATGAAATTTGGCAGCAGCTCTTCTAAAAAAGTTGAAGAAAAACCACCTGAACCCATAATAGGTGTAGTAGCGTCATCAGGTACTCCACAAAGTGCCACGCCACGTTCTACTGGCAGGGCAGATGTGTCAGCATTTGAAGATTCTTCTCTTCCTGCTGCAGATTCACCATGGGATTTCTTTGGTCTTTACCATCCTATTGACCACCAATTTTCTTTTCAAGAAGGGAAAGCCATGTACCAAGATATGGGGAATGCTGATGATATAACACGACTAAGGGAAGAGGAAGGAATTCCTGAGTTGGAAGACGATGAAGAGAAGATCTCTTGCCATGGAAGGGAAGACTCTGAGGAATCTGAAGATGAGTTTGATGAGGAGCCTGCCACAGATACCTTAGTTCGAAGATTTGAAAATCTTAATAATAGAGTTGGTGACAATGTAGATGATGATACTGTACCCACCACAGTCAAGCCTGTGACCAGGGACCAACTTTCTGAAGAACATGCAAATGGAGAGAAGAGCAATTCTGCTAGTGTATCACCATTGAAGGCAACATCCACTGAGGCTATCCTTACTAAGGCAATACATAAAACAGTGGAAAAAGAAAATCACAATGAAGATAAAGTTGCTCCTAAGGATTTCTTTTCAAGCATGAAAGAAATTGAAATCCTGTTTGTAAGGGCTTCTGAATCTGGTAAAGAAGTTCCAAGAATGCTTGAAGCAAATAAGTTGCATTTTCGTCCAATGTTCCCTGCAAAAGAAAGTAATTTCTCTCTCCCTAACTCTATCCCCTCACCCCCGACCCCCCAAAAAAACAAAGAAAACTATCTTTTTCGTGTGTTTCTGTTTGTCTTTATCATGTGGGCAATGTACATATGATTAGTTTTTATGAACATAATGTTAAAATACAATGGAATTGTTAGTGTGTGACTTTAGCATTGATTATATAAATCAGCTATAGTTTTGTAATTTGGAAATGTGAATATATTTGTATCAACTTATGCTAAAGATTTCAATGGCATCCGCTTTCCCTTTGAAGTTATGCTTTTTGATGAAAAGAATGCGTTTAATATTTTTGTAAGCAGCAACCTGTTAGCATGACTTCTTAAGATAATATCCTACAGATAGTTCCTGTGTAACTTCATTTATCAGATCAAGGTAGATTTACATTACCAAATATCTTCTTTTACTTGTGTTTTAAAAAACATTTGTAGTTCAAGCTTACAGTCACAGGGATATTAAGGTTTTTGAATATATGTATTCCATTACTGCTTTACTCATTTATACCTGAAATGCTCAGTAAACTAATAAGAGATTCCTTTATTTTTGCAGATGGTTCTGTGACATCTTCATTTTGGAAGGCATGTTTCTTGTGTGGTGAAGACCCAAGTCAAATTACAGAAGGTATTTTTCTCACCTTTTTAGCTTGCAATTTCTCATGAATGGCTGCTTCATCATTCAGATAGTATTCCTTAGGACTTTATAGTGCGTATTTTCCATTATAGAAATTATTTATATTCTATTGCTAAACCTAGGTAAATTGGAATTTATTGAAGAAATTATGGGGTGTTCTGGAATCTTCACCATGGCTATACTATCGTATATGTAAGTAGTTTGTAAGGAAATATGAATGATGTTCTTTCTTTTCAACTTTTTGTTATTTAATGTTATAAAAACCTATTTTTCGTCTTTCTCTTCTTTTTGAGTATAATAAAGTAGCATTTTCTTCTCATTCTCCAGACTATTAGTGAAAGTATAACTCACTTTGGATAACGTTGATCTATATAGAACATGTGTAAGGAACTTTCCTTTTTGGTCTTGCGTTGTAAAAGTGTCCACTTTTAAGAATTCATAATAAAGGTATTTTCTTAAATCATTTTTCCCTTGATTTCCATTTAGAGATCTTCTGGTTTATTTAAGTTACTCTAGTTTGGTGACTTTATCTAAGTAAAGAAAAAAGGAAAATACAGTGAAAATTAAATTAATTGGATCTTTTTTAAATGTTCTAACATTGCTGCCATTGATTTAGCATTGGAGAGATTACTGAGAGTTAAGTAATATCTGTTTCTGGATTTCAATATTTAATTCTCTCATTTTATCTTCCCAGAACCTGCTCAAAACTCGGTTAAGTACTTAACATGGCATAGGACGACATCATCTAGATCCTCTTCATCTAGGAATCCTTTAGGAGCAAACTCAAAAGATGATATGGAGGACGTCACAAGTAATCTCTTTGATAATTTTTGTATGAATTCTGGAAGTCACGCGTCAACCTTGGATAGACTATATGCATGGGAAAGGAAGCTTTTTGACGAAGTGAAGGTATTTGTGTGTATTTTATGTTTTCAGCAATTATTGTGTTCGTTTTATTTTCTGTATGGTACATTCTGGTAATAGAGTGTTGTGAAGTGTGGTTCTAGATCTTAAACTAGGGCCTGAAGTTCTCTCTTCAAAACCTTTAATTGGCTTAAGCGTTGACAAGCAATACCTTGAAGAGCAGCTATCGGAGTCAGGCTTAAGAGAGCCTCCTATCTACCTAGTCAAATACTGGACTGAAAAAAGAAGCTTATATGATTGTTATTTTTTTAAAGGAAAACATTACATTCTGCACAATAACAGACACCATGTGTTTCTCAGTTGAAAAGTTAGGTTCTTTTTTTTTTTTTTTAAGAAGGCATCTCATTTCTCTACTTTTAAAAAGGAAAAATTGTCAACAGAAGTCCAAAGCAGGTAACGAAGTCAGAACAGTGTATGGTTAATGCATTTAAAGAAGGCATCTTATTCTTCATTTTCTCCCCTTCGTCTTGTCTTTCCATGTTCCCCTATTCTTGAGTATTACTCTCTCCAGTCCCATATACAGGCTGTCTTTTAAAATACTTTCATGGTCCCAAATATAAGTCGCTTTGCACATGTTTGTGGAGCATTAATTGCTTTATTCCAAATATTCCCTTCTCAATTTCCAGTGAGGGAATAGAGACATGTTTTTCAAATTTGCGGCATTTGCAGGGGTAAAGATAGAAATCAAAGCAATTTTTACACAATTTTAGTTATGCAGCTAACTTTTTTTTTTTTTTTCCCAAAAAATTCCAGTGAAGTAGTTAAAAGTGCTTTATATTAGGGATCGGAGGAAATAACTTTAATTTCTATCCAAGCGTCGGAGTTATATATATCATTTTCTGGTGGTTACTTGATATGGTGATAGAGTATGAGTGACCATTTCCTTTTCTTTTCTTTTGTTTCTCTTTCCCTTTTTTTTTTGGGCGAGTCTGCTTTACTGGTATAGACTACAGTTTCTCAGTGTTGAGTAGGTTTTGGATTCCAAGCATCACTTCCCAGATTGCACTGTACATTACAATATTTTTCCTGAAGATTTTGTATCTGTTGGTAAGCAAATAATCTGAAATGGCACTACTTTCTTTTCAACCTGTTGCTGGCCTTTCTAATTTTATATTTAAAAAAAAAAAGAAGAGAAATGGCTCAACTTCCGGTCTTTTACATCTCTACAGAATTCCACGCTCCTTGGCCATGCCCAAACCTCTGAAATGCATAGTTTGACCTTCTCCAAAATTTATGGGCTAGCTTATTTCTTAACAAAATGGAGAGAGTGAGGATTGGCCAAGGGGAAGACTTTATTTTTTAAACTGAACAAGAAATTTCAAGAAGGTTCATCTGTTTTAAGCTTATGAGTAGATTAACATTTTTCTGACGTATAAAATTTTCATATAGTTAATGCAACTGAAAAGCAAGGTTTTCTGGTAAATTTCTGTAAAAAATTTTCCAAATGTGTGAGGACTCCATCCTGCCAATCTTTTACTTGAGAAATCTGCGTGATATTCCTCTCATCTTATTCTAATGAAAGGCTTTTCATTGCACTCTCCTTCTCTCTCTCTCATATGCTTCAACACTTCTATCAAGTTCGTTTTTTATAGACAAATGCTTGGTGAATTCTATATGTTAATATCTGTAATCAATAACGCAAATATATCATGCTAAGCCACGGAGATGAGCACCCGGACAGCTTTCTGCTTTTAAACCATGTAAAAACAGGGGATGAAGTGATTGTGTCACTTTTACTGACTTATATGCCTCCCTTTTGCCTCCCCTTGGTAGGAAACCTATGAAAGCCCTATCCCAAACTAAAGCAGAGGGAGGCTAGTTGATTGTACATAACATGGTTTGCAAATAAAATTAGATGGGCTCATATAGTGGCCTAACAGCTCCCGAAAGATTTCTAAGACTCGATCAATGTAAACAATGCTACTTTCATTTTGATATTACAACATTCTTGGAGATGCTTCTAGTACTAACCTAATTTTGAGAAGCGAAACAAATTATCCTTTCTCATTGCAGCATCAACATTTTTGCTGTGTTGATGTTGCCTCCTAATATTTTGACTTGCTTGTCGGAGAGATCTCAGTAATATGTTGTTTAAATTTTGTCTCAAGCTTCTTCTGGGTATTTGGCACAGCTATTGAACCGTGTATGCATTGAGCATTACTATGGTATGTTGCTTGCCTATTTGGAGATGGGCTGAAATCTAAATAATCAGATGATAAGTGCAGCTGCATGTTGATTATCATGCATTTGATGGAGCAGACTAGATCAGATCTTGAAAAGTTGTTTGATGTGGATTTTCTAAACATATTAGCAAGTGTGAGCTGGAGGTCAGACTAACATTTCCAATGGGCGTTTCAGGCGAGTGGGTTGGTGAGAAAGGAATATGACATGAAGTGCAAAACCTTGAGACACATGGAATCAAAAGGAGAAAAGACTGCTACAATTGATAAAACGCGTGCTACAGTCAAGGATCTACATTCAAGAATTAGAGTTGCAATTCACCGGATAGACTCTATATCAAAGAGGATTGAGGAACTAAGGGACAAAGAGCTTCAGCCACAACTTGAGGAGTTGATTGAAGGGTATGACTCTGGTTTCTTTTTGGTCAGAGGGCATGTTTCATGCCGTCATGAATTGGCTTTATGATGCATTATATATTTAGATTTGATAATAACACTTTGTAAGAACTGTGCCGTAAGCCTTTTTGTCAGAAAATATTTTGATAAAGGCTACGAATTATCAAATGCAAACTTAATCAAAAGCTTAAAAAGGCCGCGTACTGAATTGTATGCTATTAATTTTTGATCATCCAGCTGAAAATTTAAAATACGATGTTTATAAGTCATTGTCAGTTTTAATTGTGAGATAAAATTAAAATAGGCCAACACTTTAACGTAATTCTGGTGTGAGAGACTAGTTTCCGCATTTTCCTTTCCCAGTTGCTGCAATTAATAGCTTTTTATTACTCTTTGCTCTTCAAGGTCAGAAGGAAAATTCTGCATGGGGCCCAGAGTTCTGCTCTAGGGAGAAGATCACTGCTGACTTTTCTTTAAGAGTGAAGAGTGAAGATGTCTAAACGTGTCTGCATAATGTATATTTGATGCAACACACACTCGCACACACAAAGCAATGGTTGCAAACAGGATAGGATGTAAGGAGTAAGATAGAAACAAAGGAGGGGGAAAGAGAGACGAATTGAATGATGAGGGAAGACACAGCCTAGAACTCTGAGGGGGGAAAGAGAAAAGTGAGTTCTCATAGGCAGCAAATTGTCATTCATCTGCAATTATGAATGATATTAAATTGCAGGCTTTGTAACATACTGATGCAGTATTTCTGATCTTCTCATATTATTTGGATAACTAGGATAAAATAGGCTACTCATGTCACGAGATATACTGTTTATATATATATATATATTGTATCTTTAATTTAAACTTCTTGCTTGTGCTCTAACTGTTGCTTCACTTTGATGGCAGGTTAAATCGGATGTGGGAAGTGATGTTCGAATGCCACAAGCGTCAGTTTCAGATCATATCAGCAGCCTATAACAATAATCATGCTAGAACGACCATGCAATCTGAGTTACGGAGGCAGATAACTGCCTATCTTGAAAATGAACTCCGCTCTCTGTCATCAAGTTTTGCCAAGTGGATTGAGGCTCAAAAGTCTTATCTTGAGTCCATAAATGGATGGCTTTGCAAATGTGTTCTGCTTAAAGAAAAATCATCCAAGAGAAAAAGAAGGTATCAAACTCCCCCACTGAGAAAGTTTGGCCCTCCTATATATGCCACCTGTGGTTTCTGGCTTGAAAAGCTCAAGGAATTACCTACCAAGGATGTTACAGATTCTATAAAGAGTTTAGCGGGTGAAACTGCCCGGTTTTTGCCACGTCAGGAGAAGAACCATAGAAAAGGAGTAAATCATCCTCATACAACAACTTGGAAGGCTGATATTGGTAGTGATTCTCAAGACAATTTATTAGGAGATGATGCTTCAGAGGACTGGGTATCAGGTTTTGATAGGTTTCGAGCAAGTTTGATCAGATTTCTTGGCCAGTTAAATAATTTTGCTGGGTGTTGTGTTAAGATGCATGCCGAACTTCAACAAGCGATTCATGATGCTAAAATTCATTACGGTCGACTTAATTCCATGTCTCAAGATGGCCATTTGAATTCTCAACCTCAAGACAACCAATCGAAGGCACAATCTGAAGCTGTCTAATCACAAGAAAAAATCTTTTATGACATGAGAAAACTTGCATGACAATTCTGTCGAACACGTGAATGAACTTTACTTTCAGACGCCAGTCCATTGGAGGTGGCATTTTTACGTGGAGTGATGGAAGGTAAGAAATAAAGATGCTGGTTGGGTTTGCTTGCTTTCCTCCCATAACAATAAAACGGAACCAATAGATACTGCATTGAGGAGTTCATGATAGATAAGAGTGAAGAGGCATGCATGCAAAGAGACAGAACTTGTATAGTGCCAATTTTGTAAAGAATGAACTATAATATCGCTAAGATGCATGTTTCATCAATTTGGTCTCCAGAAAAATAATTATCATTTAATTTATTTTCCTATTTTGTGTGGGGAGAACAAAGGAGCTCATCAATATAGTCATGCTGTGATTTAAATGGACTGTTGACCATAATCATAGCAAGACCATATTGAGTTTATTTTAAAAAATTTAGTCGTATATGATGTTGCTTATTTCTGAAAATTAAATTGATGAAACAAGTTTCTTCTAGGCCTTCAATGGTAGTTTAATTCATTTTGTAAACAGAGGATGCTAGGCAGGACTTCCACTCATTGTTTGTTCATTCATGTATGTATATGCTTACAAACCACGGGGACTGGAATTCCTTAAATTTGCTCAGATCTTAATACATTTTACATTTCTGGTTCCTGGTTTCGGTTCAACTTCCAATTATATGTGTTTGCATTAAGATAGCTGGCTGTGAATCAGTATCCTTGTGAACCGAACTTCGAAAATGCTCTGTCGGATAGAGAATTGCTTGGAACACATCCTTTTATCCAGCTTCCTTAGGGATGCTGGGTGATTTTATTTGGGAAAGTGGAGTCTTAGGTAAGGAATATAACTGCTAACAGGTTTCGTTCTATGCAAAATGTCGGAGGGTAATATGTAAGTTACCACTCTCTACGGACGTGTGAGAGTTATTAGAAAATTTTATTTTGATCATAAATATAAAATTTAAGTATTCACTATAATCTAAATTTATTTTTTTTTTATGTGTACTGCGTATTTTAAGAGTGTTAAAATTAGTATTTTGGGAATAACGAGCATACTAATTTTTTTTAACTTAATTAGTTTTGTTAAATCTCTATAAATCAATTATATAACTCTTATATTAAGAGCTGGTGAAAGTATGTATTGTACAAGTGTCCATCCTATATTTTTCGAAATTAGAAGTATGGATATATCATATACTCTTCCGGTCCTTAATATAAGACCTATTTAACTAATTTGATTAGATTAAGGAAGTTAGGTAAGTTAGTTAATTATAAGAAAAGTGACACATTTTTCCTAAAATACCATAATCATCTTTCTTAATACCCATTCTCCTTCTTTTACTTGATTATAATTGAGGGAGTTTCTATAGGGGTAATTTAGAGAAAATTAATAAATATGAGAAATGGGTCTTATATTTAGGACCAAAATCAACTCAAAAATTGGGTTCTATATTAAGGACCGGAGGAGTATGTATCATGATCGATTCAGTATAGTTTCTGTACAGCATGTGTCAACTTCTTACTTCACATAAAGAGTGCGGCACTTTTATAAAATTAATAATAAGAAAGCGACTTTAATTTTAAAAAACAAAAATAGAGTAAGCGACTATTTCCAGGGGGAAAAAAAAGTGAGTCAGTCACTGAGTTTTATCTCTTAATCTTGGATTCATTATTTTTTATATTAAACTATTAGGAACTAATGGAAATAAGCACTGTCACGACTCAGCCAATAGAATCCCTTTTCTAAATGAAGTGTTGACTTCAATTGCATTTCATGCCTCCTCTCCATGCTCATATTCGATCAATAAACTATTTGAGCACATTAGGGCTATATGCATGGTTTTTGTCGCTTTGCCCATAACCAAAAGCGCTGAAATTGTACTGGTATGCCAAAATAATAGTAATATAAAAATGCACTATGGAGAACAGGAAACAATCATAGCTTGTGTTCTATACTGATTGTGCAGATACTCCCAAGATAAGAAGACAGCAGAGGCTCGTTCAATTTATATGACATCTTCCAATCAAAATATCATAAGCCCACTTTATAGGCAAGGCTCACCTTTCCTTTCCTTTTGTGTTCTTTTTCCTCATGTTCCTTCTTCATCCTCTCCAGCAACAATGAGTTGTGGAAACAGAATTAGTCCTTAAGAATATAGATTGGAAAACTAAGAACCATTATTAATAGTTAATGGGTGAGCATCAACCTTTTCTTTCTTCTCATGTTCTTTTTCCTCATGGTCTTTCTTCAACCTCTCCTGTGATTATCCATTGTACAAAATAAATCAGTTTTCCCAAAATAAAGCTTGGAAAACTAAGAACCATTATCACGGCATAAAGGTGAGCCCTGACCTTTAATATGGTTCAGGAGATGTTTTGCTGTGCAACTTGACCATAACTGAGTAGTTCAGTGGAATGTTGATGATACAGTTCAGAAATTTAGTTCCAAGAGAATGTGCATAACCAGTGGCTAAAATGTACCAAGTTCACCAACTAATTTCACACAGGTGCGAGTGAAATATGCTCTAGCAACTCAAGGTTTCAAGATTCAGTATGTGTTCAGCTTAATGAATGCTGCAAGAGGCAAAATCACCTCCCCCAATTAATCAAACTCACTTATAAGTAAAGAACTGTCGGTTAACTCAAGCTCAAATAAACTCAGTTAAAACCAAGTTAAGAGCAGGATTTTTTTGTTTTAGCAAGTTGAAATCAGTGAATATCCAGTGGTTAAACAAAGTTGGAAGACATGGAGACAGATCAAACTTCAAAGTGCAGCGCCAGCCGTCAAACGTAGTCAGTAACTCAAAAATACGATTCACACAGCATGTTGGCAAATTGAAATGTGTCTCAGCTGGTCAGCAAAAAATTTAGGGAAATATCTCATAAGTATCTCTAGTTCATGAACAAATGCATGAGCAAGCCGGAGGTGCACTCAGTAATTGTGAGATTAGGATAAAAGCATTCAAATGTTCAAATTGCAGCAAGATGTAGCAACAAGAGTCCTTATCAATTAGAATCATAATTCAGGGTAACTCTGCTTTTAGACTCAACAATTTCTTGGGGCCAAACTTCAGAGTGACAGAATTAGAACCCAAAGTTTCGTAGCTATTCAGTAAACAAGAATCAGGGAGAAGAAAATTCACAAAACTCAAATTGTAACCCAAAGTTAGACAGTATATTTAAAGCACACAAAATTCACTCAAGAGTCAACTTACTACTCCGTCCCTTATTATAAGATTCTTTTGACTAAATTACTCGGTTTAAAAAAATAGTTAAAATTAGTTAAAAGTAATAATATGTAGCAAATGCAATTTTTTTCCAAATATACCGCTATATGTAAATAAGTAGATGTGAGAGAGTAATAGTGAGATAAATGAAGAAATAGAATGTATTAAATGCATTAAACTAGAAGTAAAATAGGTAATAATGTATTAAATGTTTAAACAAATTCAAAAAAGATCTTATAAAAAGGGACAACTCTATTCAAAAAATCAAGGAACAAAAAACCGGACCGGACACTGAACCGGTTGAAGTAGTAGTTTAAGGGTTAATAGGTCAGATCGGGGTCAACTCGAGGTCAAACTGGTCATATTAAAATAATATAATTTAATTAAAAATGACAAAATATAACAATACTAATAATTACTAATAACAAAATATAAAGAAATACAATAAGAATTTGATTGTAATAATAATAAAGTACAACAATATTGAGAATTTTGTTCTTTATAATTTTTCAATAACTAAAATTAATAGTTATTGATACCAAACTCATCATCAAAATTCATTTAAATATATAATAATTGAGATATTATGAGTTAAATGAGAAAAAAAAAGATAAATATCAATATATTTATTTAAATCGGTTTATTACTGGTTCATACCAGTTTTTACCGTTTTCACCGGTTCACACCGGTTTGACCGGTTCAATCCAGTTTGAACCGGTCCCCGGTTTAGCCTATGAACCAGACCGGACCACTGACCGGTTACCAGTGAACCGGTCAGTGGTCCGATCTGGTTTTTTTTACACTGCAAAAAATTAGATCTTATAATAAGAGACAAATGGTGTATAAATCAAACTTGATACATACTAACAGCATTTGACTTTCAATTTATAGGTGGGACATGTGAAAAGGAAAAATGAATTTTCTCCAATTAAAGTACTTGAGAAGCTTAAGAGAAAATTTTATCGGATTGCTATAAGACCAGTTATGTTGTACGGTAGTGAATGTTGGGCAATAAAAGGAAAACAAGAGCACAAAGTTGGGATAGCAGAAATAAGGATGTTGGGATGGATGTATGGTCATATAAGAAAAGATCGGATTCGAAATGAAAATATCAGAGCAAGAGTTGATGTGGCACCTATCCAAAAGAAAATGATTGAAAATCGCTTAAGATGGTTTGACATGTGTAGAGAAGGCCATTGAAGGCCCCGTGAGAAGGATAGATCAGACAATATGGAGTCCCATAAAAAGGGATAGAGGAAGACCGAAAAGAACACTTAATGAAGTCATTGAACGAGACCTTCTGGTCAACAACATATCTAAGGACTGGGTTGTTGACAAAGCATAATGGCATCATGTAATTCATGTAGCCGACTTCATCTAGTGGGATAAGACTTTGTTGTTGTTGTTGTAATCGTAGTGCGCACACAATTTTCTCCAGGTGATCTAGCTAAACGTTGCTTAATTCCAAAATTCAGTCAGTAACAGCTTTGTGACAGTAAACCACAATAGTAATCAGAACTGAGTCTCAAGCAATCCAAATCACACAGCTCGATGATTCAATGGCAGCCAATATATCAGCTTAAATGACAGCAACCGTATCTCATCAACCACAAACTACAATCCACATTTAAATATCTTAAAACAGAACTCACAATAGCAATAAAGTATGACAATAATGGTCCAGTACATCACTTTTAACGACAAAAATGCCATAATGACAGCAAGTATATCAACTCAAGTGACAAAATACCAAAATTATGACAGTGAATGAAGTTCAAGCAGCACATAACCAGTTTGTGATAGAGCTCTACCTTGTGCGTGGGTTTCTTTCACTCTATTCCACGACAATAAGCTAGTTCACAAAATCAAGGCCAATAGAAGAAAGAAATCAAGCAAGTTTAAAAGTATGAGTGTTACAATTCAGTTAACCAAAACCTTCAAAGCAATCACAATCCATAGAATACCTTGATACAAGGAAATTAGTCAAAGTACTAAATTTAACCAAGGTGAGTAAAGCATAGAAGGCCACTCAAGGATACAAATGTTTCACTCATCTCATCTTGTGGTTGGGTTCTTTCACTCTATTCCATTAGCCTAACCCCTACCATGGGTTTGTAATGCTTCTAATATCTCCAATACCCTTATATCCCTTATTTATTGTTCTAGACACGAAATAATTTCTAGAAATTAATCATTCATACTTTATATTTTATAAGGATTTTCTTTCACAATTAAATTCTTTACCTTATAAAATGATTTATCTAAAATTTTCAAGCCAAAGATAAACTTCTAACTACTTTTCTTGAATTTTTTTTTAAAAAAGGCCTTAATTCTATAAATTAATCCTTAATATTTTATGAAGATTTTCTTTCTCAATTAGCTTATTTAACTTATGTAATAACTATTCTAACTATTTTCCCTTGAATATA